ATGCCTGAGGAAAGCGTGAGAAGAAAGCAAGAGGGCAATGCTTCCCCATGGCAAGCCCTCCTTGCTTAAGGCAACCTGTGATTTGGGGGATTTTGTGGTCACCGTATTTACTGGCTCCTGATGGACTTTTCTGCTACCAATTTGTCTGATCAGTTTTGGAACTAACTTTCAGGTTTAGCCTTGATGACACCCGTGGGTAATGAACTCCACAGGTTGATACACGCTGTTTGAAAATCTCTGCCTGGCCCTTCCCTTTGAGGCTACTGGTTCTTGTGTTTTGAGAAGTAATATTGCCCTTTCCTCTATCTGTGCTGTCCGTGAATCTGTGTACCTACAGCAGTCGTCACCTCTTTTCCAAGGTGGAGGGCCCCAGCCTGTTTTCCTCTCTTTGTGCAGGGGTTATTCCGTATCGCTGATCCTCTTCCTCTGTGCCTCGGTAAGTTTGACCAAAGCTTTGCTGAGATGAGGGACAGGGACTGGGCATGCTATTCCACGTGCATGCACAACTGGGTTTCGACAGTGGCACACTGATGATTTCTGTTTTGTTCTCTGTGCCCTTTCTATTAAAGTCCTGTCCTAGCATTATCTTTGCTTTGTTTGCCTGCCACTGAGCTGGTATTTTTGTAGACCTATCCACAAAGACTCCCAAGATCTTTTTCCTGACTCAGAATAGCTAATTTAGAACCCATTGTTGTGCGTATGTGCGTATATATTTGGAGTATGGTTTTTTCACATCCATCACTTTGCTTTTGTAGACATTGAATTTCAGCTGCCATTTTCTTTCTCAATTACAAGTTAACTTTGAAGCTCTAGGACTTGTTTGTGTTGAATAACACATTACAATTGCACTCTGATGAGTTTTAATCTACTCTTCTGGCCTGCCTGTCCTTTCTTTCTTCCTCTGACAGAGCTATAAGACACCGAATTTGCTCTCCTTCCAGCGGCTTCCAAGCCACAGATTGCTCAAACGCTCTGTTCATTTTGTAGCTTCTGCTGTGTCAGCAGCTGCACTTTATGATTTAAGACAGCAGCAGAACTTTCCACTGAACTATAAACCCTTGTATTCAGTTTCCTGGTATCCACACAACCAGGAAGCTAATTGATGGCCGGGATAGTCCTGTGAGGAGAGGTCAGGACGTATTTAGAGTGCAGCAAGACAATGAGGTTTGTTTGTGTGTGCAGAACTGAACCGAATGCCACCAAACCCAGGGAGAAACACTGCGGGGGCAGCCGGCAGTCCTTTGAATCCACCTGTCTCCTTTTCCAGTATGGAAATAGCTATCCCCGGGCAGGAGAGCGTGTGTTTTCTGGGAGTAGACGGTGCTAGCATCTTGCACAGGATTGCTGGTCACGCCCTCGGCTGGTGTGGTGTGTTTAATGAGCCGTCTTCTGGTACGGGGACATATCAGCCAGGCCCAGTCAGCCCATGGTGGTAGTGATATGACACGACATTGCCCTCACCGTTCCCCAGGGGCGTGCGCCGCTGCGTGGACGCCCGTGCCCTGGCTGCCAGCGTGGAGAGGTGCACCATGCACGACTTAACTGAGGGCTGGTAAAATGCCTGGTGAAGTCAGTGGGGACTTTGTATGGATGCCAGAAGGGGCCAGGGTGGTCAGTACCTCTTTTCTGGAGCTGGGTGGGGAGTGGAGCAGTAGTTTGGGGAGTGCGAGTGTCACATCTCTGTGCTTGAGAGGACTGCAAATATTTGAGTAGGCTTCTGCTAATTTCTGGTTTTCATGGAGAAATGGCATTGTCATGACTATCGCTGCTCTTTCTGCTTTGAAGAATAAGCTTTCAGCACCCAGAGAGTCAACAAACGCTTTGATAAGGCTGTTGAAAATGAGAAAAGCCAACATTCATGCCCTGCGGCAAAGAAGTGTATGAGTGGCCTTATTTCCTCATTCCTTCCATCCTCAGATATTTCGAGTGGCTTTAGAAGGCTGTTTCTCCTTTCTCTGTGCAGTGGCAGCTGGATGCTGCTGTCTGCGGCAAGACTAGCCAAAGGCAGGGCGGCCTCTGTCCCAAGCACACAGGGTAAGTTGCTGCTCCGGGGAGGGAGGGAGCCTGCTGGCAGGACATTTGCCACGAAAGGTTGCCAGTGCTTGAGAGCTATGCTGTCTTGTCTGTCAGAGCACGGATCTGTTGACCTTCAGCATGCTGCTTGGCTTGCTTTTCGTTGCTGGCCTTTCTAGACAGGCAGAATGACTCTGGCCGGGCTGAGCACAGTCATTAAGGCATTAATCCTTTTATAATCTCCAAATAGCTCATCCTTTGAAGGCAGGGCGGGGGACTGAGGCAGGTGTGACAGACCCCCCTCCCTGTGACCTCACTTGGAGGCCAGTGAGCTCTCCTGGCTGCCACTGGTCCCTGGAAGAGGTTGCGTCCTCTCCAAACCACCCTGAGACCAGCTCTCAAAATGGCTCCTTCAGCTTTTCCAGGGACAATCTTTGTTAGTCTTTGCATTCCCTGCGGTAGGTTTAGGGAGCATTTGCTAAGGTGTCCCAGTAACCTGAATTGTGCATTGGCCAAGCCCTTGGGCAACAGGCTCTGTTGTTAACCGCTTATCGTAAAATTGTCCTCAGACAAGCTGGGTTAATGTCTAATGCGAAATACCTCTGAGATGGGTAATAGGGTTACAAATGTTTTAAGAGACATAGGTGAAGAAATGAAGGGAAAAAAGCATGCTATATCTCCTTACAGTGGGTATTAAACATGAAAGCAGACTGGCCTTCTTGACACATCCTTTCTCAGAAACTCTAGCTTTTTGCACACTGTCTTGTATTGTGCAAATCTGGTGGAGATTTTATAGCTATTCTCTTTTTCAGAGTCCTCTAGATTACCTTGGCAGGGATTTTCCCTTGAAGCATATTCCGGTTTTGTTCAGGAGAGAGCCTTGCCCCTTCTAATTAAAATAAGCGGCATGTCACTTCCTGGGAGAGGCGGAAGGTACTTCACTAGACCAAGTGCCATCTTTTGTATTTTGTCAAATCTTTTTCTTGTTGACCCCGTAGATGTAAGAGTTATCTCCTCTGCCCAATCAACCTGATATTTTCTATTAATCCATGTGGGGACAAACTTGCTTGGAAAGTAAGTTTGGAAAAAACGTATGCAAATCATTACGATGTTTGAGTGAAACCAGACCCTGGCGTAACTTACCCCCAAAGCCCTCCTTCCTGAGACACCACGAGAGCAGAGTTGTGCACTGGGGTTTGTTGTTCCTTGAGAACACCGTCTCCAGATATGCACGCTCCCTGGTTGTGTTCACCTGGAGCTTGAGCTGAGGGACATGAATGGCTGCTAGGACTGCTGCATCTCGCACTGGTCATTCAGAGGCAAGGCCATGAGAAAGTTTTCATTGCAGTTACTTCTTCTTGACCCAAGATACCAGGACGCTGTGGAAGGAACTGGATGCCCTACATCAGTGGGCCACGGTCGCCTAAGCTATTGGATGAGCTGATTGCACAACGGCGGCAACAGGGGCAGTATGACTTACAGAAGCCATCAAGGAAGCTACCTCTTGTCTTTGAGATGGTTTCTGCTGCTGGCAGGACATACGAAAGGGCTGAAGAACTTGAGTTCAGCTGGAGAAGCGATAGCATTCTTCTAAGGCAACTGCAAGCTCTGGATGCCAAGTTGGGAGAGCGGTGTTGTGTGTAAACGGCTTTCCACCTAATAGACCTGCAGGTCTGTATGATGGTGGCTTTGCTCAGGTCTGGTCCTGCCTAGCCCTTAAAGGCCTTTACCTTTCCTAACGCATAAGTCAACTGGAGGCTCAGCCTGGTTGCTTAGCGAGCAGCGTTACAGAGGAGTCACCCTGGAGTTTCAGTGGGTACCTCTCTGAACGACAGCTACCAAAATGTGATCTCAAGTGCCTCTAAGATAAGAATCTGGTGCTTATCAGGACTGAAGGAGGTGTTAGGATGCCGGTAGGAGATGGATAAACAAATTTAGGGGGAACTGGGCCTGGTCTTGGTACATATTGTTCCTTGGACCAGAGGCGCTGCAGGTGTTCCCAAGACCCAGAGTGACACAAAGGAGGCCTGTTACGTCCCTCAGAACACGCGAAGCTGGCTGGCAGGAGGAACGTGTCCAAGGGGAGACAGGACTAGTTTCTCCACATGTAAACGCACGGGTTCTTGCCAAGAACCGGGAGGTAAGTGCTGCCTGGAGCTGCCCCATCCTTGCACTGTGCTGTGGGCAGTGGTGCTGTTCACAGACCAGAGGCCGAAAGCACAGATTTGCTCTACCGAGTTAGCACTACTGGCATTCTCCTTTACCACCTCTCTAGCCCTCCTCCAGGGCCGGACCTTCTAGACTAACGGTGCGGTGCGTTGCTCTCATTCCCACCCAAAACATCAACAACGTAACGTGTAGCACTGCGGTTTTCCCCTGCCACACTGCTACCTTCCTGTAGAAGATAGCTGAAGTGCTTGCTGAAGACACAGGCGGTTTGCTGTAGCACGCAATACCTGCCAAATACAGGCTGCCTACTCCTTCCTGCATTCAGCGCCACTCATCCTGGCCATGGGAGACATCCAAAACATCAAAATCATTTTTGCTCCTGCCAGATCTTCACGCTTTCCCAGGTATTTTGCTACCACCTTGAAATACCCTGTTCCCTAGGTTGAAGCCTCCAGACGCGCTGGTGCATTGCTTCCCCAGCAGCCTGGTAGTCTGTGAATCACGAGTAATCAGATACCTCCTTGGTTCACGTTCCCTTTCTAAAGAAGCTGTAAAAGATCAACCTTAGAGGCTGCCACTCTAAAATGAACATTGCAAGCCATCTGATTCCAGCCAAAGCATATCTGGAATGAACATCCTTGGGTTGCTATGGAGATGCCCAATGGGTATCTCTAACTTTTCAGAGACCTGGCAGGATGCCGGGGCATCCTAAGCAACAGTACTTTAGCAGTGCTGAAATATATCCCCTTTGCTCCAGGGGACGGGAGCCCAAAACATAGTCAGGAAAGACTTCTCTTTTTGAGATGAGATGGTCTCACCTGTGGAGGTGGACTGTCTGTCTTCTCCAGTTGCTGCTTGCACTTCCACGTGAGCTGTTGAAAATATGAGCAAATGTTATTAGACTCGATCCTAGAGCAGCTGACCAAAAATCACATTATGCTCTCCTTCCTGCTTATATGAGCTTGTGTAGCTTCAGGAAGCTGAGCACTGAATGGCATAACGCTGCAGGTCTGGCAAGACGCACAGCGCTTTATTCTGAGAAGGAGAAAGTTGTTCCGATAAGGAAATGAAAAAAAGGGAATAAAGCACCCTCAGTGCTGGCATACTGGACTAAGCATTGGAGCCAGGCCCAAAGGGTTAAAGCATCCCAGAAAGCCTAAGAGAGTCCCTCAGGATAGCTCCTGAGCAGACTCAAGTAATGAATTTTCACTTCTATACTTTCATTATCATTGTTCTTAGCTGGAGATTTACCATTTGTCCCCCTTAGCTCTGCGACACATTACTCGTGTCATTGAGACAGTTGCAAGGACAGTGCTTTCATTCAGCTTTTCTGTTGGAAACGTGATGGGCTGAATTCCTGAGGGCTCCCCGCTAAGCCTCAGCTCCAGGGAAGGAGAATTGTGCATGGGTTGTTACCCCAGCAATGTTCTCCTGCTTTGCCTGCTCTCTCCTGCTGTCTCCTGTAGATTGCCTGAAGAAGTCCCAGGTTTACTGTAGCTCCGAAACAGCTGTTATCCTCAACAAAGCCCGTAATTTGGCTTTTTCAGAGATGAACTGATGGCTAGCATCCACCCTCATTTCCCTGCTAATCCAGCCAAACGTGTATATCACATTTAAAGGCAAGAAAACGCATGCTTGGATTAGCATTGCTACAATCAGTGGGAAGGAGTATCGTTCGCTTCACTGCAAGCAAGATTAGTCTTTTATTTCAGCAACAGATTTCGTTATGTCATGTAAAAAACCTACATCCTTTTTGTGGGGTAAAGAGAAGAGCAAATGTAAAAGCGCACTGCAGCACTGTAGTAGAAAACGAGTGGCAGTGCTTGGCTGTACCTCAGCACTGTTTCTGGATCGGATACTCTTTCTCATAGTTCATGCTATTTATTAGTTCCCTAGAAATTACAGACCTGGGGAAGCCGCGTTGGTAATTCTTGTATCGCACTCTGCGTGCCTCACTTGGAGTTTATGTACCCCCTCGAGTTAGACCAAGGAAAGGGATATTAGCGTTCCCAAGAATCCCAGAAAGTCAAAAAGCAGCAGGGGAAAGGCAGTTTCCCCCATGAACTGACCCTTCCCAGGATGCTATGCTTGAGGTTTTTAAACATCAGCACCACCTAATCTACTGATAATGCTGATCCCAGGATTGACTTACTTAGGTCACTGGCTTTCCCTTCGTCTTCCTTTTCACAGCTCCAGCACAACCTGTAGGGATATCATAGCCATCAATTCACAGAAAGATACAATTTGCTCTTACTAAGAGTCCTTTATTAATGGAAGTGTTTTGTAATTGAAAGATGCCCCGTTGTGTCCCCGTATGGGACCAGGTATTACGCAAGTGGTGTGATTTTTTTTTCTTCCCGCAGGTCTCAAGCGACCAGGCTGCCCGCAACGGACGTGAGAAGTTCTGTCAAATACAAATTTTACTTTTTCACCCAGTTTATTTCAATGCGGCTCTCATTTCTGAGCAGGATTTTCTTTTTTCTCCCCCCCCCCCCCCCCCACCCCCCAGGCCCGACTGA